TTTTAATATTTGGTGCAATGTTATGTAATATTTAAGTTGAAGTTAGACAATGGAATTGTAAGAAGTATTTTATATTTTATTTTATAGATTCAATTTTTTTACTTCAAATATGTAAAATTGTTTGTTTAATTATAGCAGTTTATATTAATATAGTAATACAGAATTCAGTTGTATATTTGATATTCATTTAAATTTAAAACGATTTTTATTAAAGGTGTTTAATATATTTTATATTAAGTTGTTCTTGTTTAGTGCAAAGTTATTTATATTATGAATTTTTTTTTTTCCAGGTTAGATATTTAGTTTACTAATATATAGTATATATATTAATATATATATATATATATAGTGGTATAAATTTAGATGAAGTTATGGTAAATTTAGTATCTTAGTGTTATATAGGTTTGTTAAACAGGATTTGAAAATGAATTTGGTTGGTTATTAATATGTAATACTTCAATAATAATGATACATAGTTAAAAAAAATCATATGAAAAGATTAATATAATTGATCTAATATATGTAGATACGTACGTTTGCAGATTAGGTGAGTAGATTAGTATAGCATACAGTGAAACCTTTTAAGTGGATCTTCTACGTATAAGTCTCTGAATACTAATATAGATTTTGGACAAATCTATTCATGACTTAGTTAAATGCAGTTGTTGTCTAAATGGATGTTTGTCTTGAGTGTATTGATTTAGAGAGGTTTTATTGTATATAATATGAGAGCTGCACAGGGAAAACCTGCAAGTAAAATTTAATACGTTAAAACTATTGTACAATTTTGACCAATCAAATTTCAAGAACAGGCTGATCTTGAAATCTGATTGGTCAAAATTGTACAATATTTTTAACGTATTAAATTTTTTTTCTTATAATAAGTTTATTTTCATAGTCTTAATACAAATACTCGATCTTCAATGATTTATTTACTTGCAGGTTTTCCTTGTATAGCTTTCATATATGTGAGCGATAGGGTTTATAATTTCGCTTATCAGTATATGGCTGAAAATCGTGTTATACTATAGTGTTCCGTAAAATTACTGAAATTCACAGTTAAAATTTTAAAATTTCAAAATTCAGTAAACTTATTGTAGACACTTTCATAGATCGAAAGATAAAAAATCAGGCACAAATCAGGTACCCGATTTTAAACTGATTACTGCCTGATTACCACCTGATTTATGCATATTTTTGTACCAAAAATTTGGTACAAAAATATGTATAAATCAGGTGGTAATCAGGCAGTAATCAGTTTAAAATCGGGTACCTGATTTGTGCCTGATTTTTTATCTTTTGACCTGTGTTTGAAATCGGTTAGACTAAGATGAGTTTATTATGTTTTATTAATATAATTGATATAATAATAATATATGTCTTTTGATTAAATAATGAATAGAAAGTAGATGGGTTTGGCTTCAAAGATTTGAAAATTACACTATGTCGTTGAAAAGACTTCAGGATATACAACATTATTTGTTTGTGAAAGGTTAGGATTCACATCGTCGCTATCAGGAAGGAGAATTTTAATAGAATGGTAGGAAGTAACTCTCGATAGAGCTACGTATAATTGACTATGAGAAAAAACGGGTTCTGGCAGATAGAGACCAACTTGATTCAAGGTCTGCCCCTGTGATTTGTTAATAGTCATAAAAAACGCAGGGCGTACAGGGAATTGGCAACGTGTTAAAGTAAATAGTAAATTGGTGTTAGAAGGTGAAATTGTGATTCTAGGTATGAATACACAGCTACCAATATGTGAGCCTGTACAGATTTTAGCATCGATTACTTTGTTGTATAGATTACAACAAATTAATTGGGTTCTGTTGCATAGTCCTTTTGCAGGACTTAGGTTTCGTAAAAGCATTACTGATATTCTAATTTTTAATTTTAATTCACCAGGTGGAAAGCCAGAAATCTTTACAGATCTTAAAAACTCAGGTAGGTATAAATGGGATTGTCTCAAATCAGTGTCTTCATGTGAATCGACAAAATCTGCACTTAAATAGGTATGAACTTCACCAGGAAATTGATCTATTATAAGATCTGAAATTTTACTTGCATCATCATTTTTTGGGGTTAATATAGTTCTTTCAATTAGATAATCCGTATTGGTAGAATGTTGGGTAAAATTTGAATAGACAAAATCAATCAGATCCAATAATTTTCCACCAGCTATGACTATATTTGAAGGGAGTTCTATTGTATTTTCGGTACTAGGGATGATTGAATAGCTTTTATCTCCTATTTGTAGAAGGAATTCTGAAAATTCTTTCTGCCTTAAGTTTTCATTTACATCATTAGTTTGGCGAAGTCTCATATTAATTGTCAATTTCATTACTGTTAAATGGTTTCATAAAGAAGATCAGAGTAAGCTAAAAGAGACGACTTCTGCACGGGACCCATGGAGTATGATGGGCAATACTTGACGAAAATCGCCGCCAAAGACAAAGACTTTTCTGCCAAATAGCTTTTTTACTCAAAGAATGTCTCGAAATATACGGTCAAGTGCTTCAAAGGCAAATTTATTGACCATCAGGGCTTCATCCCAAACGAAAAGTTTTGTCAAGCTGATTAAACGGGCTTCTTTGCTATTTTGCAAAATATTGCATGTCGAGGATTCATCAGGTCTTAGTGAAATTTTAAAATGACTATGAGCTATTCGTCCACCTTTTATTAAGAGAGCGGCAATTCCTGAAGATGTGACAGCTAAAGCTATGTCTCCATGGGATCTAACGCTGAATAATAAGGTGTTGTATAAAAATGTTTTCCCAGTTCCACCCAGTCCATCAACAAAAAAGCATTGACTTTCTTCACGTTCAATGGCTTGTGTAATAGCATTAAAGATCGCACACTGGTCTTCATTTAATAAAGGTACATTTTGGCTTAATTTATTTTCTAATTCTGTGATATTATATGATTTCTCTTCTCATATTAGTTAATTTAGATGGTCTTCGCTATTATAAATATTGAAAGAATTTTTAGAAAGAATTGGCATGTTTGGAAAATCTTTTAACAATTTTCCATTTAATAAGAGTAAATTATCCAACAAAGTAAGTGCTTCTTGTTCAATTGTTGTAGTAAGTAATTGTTGATTATTTCGATATAAAAGGTTTTCACATAAAGCTAATCTATGAGTAGACTATAATAATTCAGGTTTAACAGGATGACAAAAAAGAAGTATCATAGCAAACAGGTATCATAATTGGTGTTCTGTTTGTATTATACTTGCATCAAGTAGACACGTATCCCATTCTGCATCGTCTTGAAGAAAACCTAATAGAAAGCATGCTTCTTTGAAGCTCCCACAGAGATGGCTGTTTATAGTTTTGAGGTCATCGAAGTTAGTTGCGCCTTTTGCGTGAATAAGTAAAGACCTAAGATAATAACGTTCTTTCTCCGAAGGTTGTATTATGTAAAGTCTTGCAAGCATAGCTGTAGATGTTTGTCTGGGTGTCCACTTACATTTAGCGGTCCAAGTATAATAAGTGGGAAACTCGACATATATGAGTTCA